GCTTTAAACACCTCTTACCCCTTGCTGCCAGCCAGCACTTTCTGCAATAACTTGCAGCTCTTTGATAAGACCCTACCAGTGCATCCCAAATTTGCTGGACACACGTGATCTCGCAACCGCTGCCCGCAGTGGCAGTGACACCCGTGGCCGGTCACTGCACATCTGTTGCCTTCCCATTTTCCCCTGCCTGAGGGCACAGCTGGCTCCTGTTCTACATCTTGCTGTCTGGCTCCAGTGCCCTCCTTCCACAGACTTGCTCCATGCCACAGCACCTGGACACGTGGCAACACACCGGTGGATGGAAGCTTTAATGAGAACAGCACTAACAATGTAATAATGAGACATTCCCAGCACTTGCCACAGGAGCTTTGCTAAGCAGGGATTTGCTGTGCATCTTATTTTGCTCTAGTTTCATCTTGTCTGGAGAAATCTTTTGCCTTCTCTGAGCATGGGAGATGTTGCAGGTTCTTCTCTCCAGGGTTTTCCTCCCTTTCTCCAAGATCTGCTCATTCCTGGTCAAAGTTTTTGCTCTGCTTAGTCTGGGACAGAGCTTAGGGGAGACTCAGGGCTCCCCACGGTCAAGTTGTGTGAGCTCGGGCTGGGAAGGAGAAGGCTTTTTGGAGCAGTTGGTGTGGAAATGAGGCTGATGGCTCTGAGTCAACAAGTGCCCAGCCTCTGGACACGAGAGGGCTGCAGAGCCCTGGAGGGGGCCACTGTCTCTTCTCGCAGAAACATGCAAGAAACCTCCAACCCAGGACATCCCCAAGCTCCTTTGAGAGGCACCTTTGGGCATGGGTGTGGGGAGAGAGTGAGGCAGCAGAGTCCCCATCCCACACACCTCCTGCCCAGTCTCCTGCCAGGACAGACGTGGCTCTTCCTTCACCGAGGTGCTTCAGGATGTCACTGAGCATCCTCGCACCAGCCCTGGGGACAGGGCATGTCTTGGTGAGACGGGCCACTGGCTCAGTGCCAGAGGAGGTGGCATCACCTGCTCTCTGCATCCCCCAGGACAAAGGGGTTCTGGCATTGGGGCACCTCTGGGAGCCCCATCCCTCGTCCTTGGGGTTTGCAGCAGCAAGGGGCTGTGTGGTCGCACGGATGGGCTCTGTAGGGGCCTGGCATATGCCCTTCTGTCTCCTGTTTGGGTCTGCACAGGGGAGCCAAGAAATCTCTTAACTAAATAAACAGCTCTCTCCTCCCAGATGGCATCTGTTTATACGCCAGGTACAAACAGTCCTGACAGCTGGCCTGCTCACAGCCAGGCCAGCTCTTTCCACAAAAAAGCAGTCCCTGAGGGCCAGCAGTGCTGCGCGCTGGGAAGGCAGAGCCACACTCTGCCCCAGCACGGACACCACGGGGACCTGGGCTGGGGAAGACACTGCGGCCAGAGCATTGTCCAGAGGAGGAGGCCAGCCCTGACTGCAGACCAGGGTGTCTGGACTCCGATTTGGGGATTCAAGGCACTGGGTGACACCACAGTGCTGGCCCAGACCTGAGAAGGTCCAGGGAGCTCCTAGAGGCATCACAGCTGCATCTCCCAGAGGCATCTTTCTTCCTCCTTTCCCTGAAGTCCTAAAGTCCCCCCGGCAAAGACAACATTCACTCTGCCACCCCTCAACTTGGTGCCTCCTCCTCCTCCTGCAATCAGCATCGCTGTGGTCAAGCTGAGAATGCCCAGATTAATCCTGTAGCTGTAGATCTGAGCCTGATCTAACCACGGCTCTGTGGCTGGGCTGCCAGCTAGCGGTGTCTCAGCATGTCACCCTCTGCTCATCTCTGGACAGAAGCCCCACGGCACTGGCTGGAACACAGAGCTGAGTCATGCTGCCAAAACCAGGCACCCAGGAAAAGCCAGGCCAGCCATGAGGTTGTGGAACAAGGAGAAGGAGATTTAAATTACCAAACCCTGATGCAGACTTCATGGTAGGATCCTCCTCTGTGCAACAAACTCTGTTACAATGTCAGGGCTCCATCTGTCTTCAGTTATCTGCTCATAGCCCTGGCTCCTCTGTTGGGAGTGGAGGTGCCTCATATCTGATGTTGGGTGAGATGAATCCTGCCCTGGTGCCCTGCTCTTACTGCATTGCTGTGACAAAGTCTTGGTCACAGAATCACAGAGTCACAGAATCATTCAGCTTGGAAAAGCCCCTCGGGATCATCGAGTCCAACCCTCAGCCCGACTCCACAAAGTTCTCCCCTACCCCACATCCCCCCACAGCTCATCCAAACGGCCCTTAAACCCCCCCAGGGATGGGGACTGCCCCCTCCCTCGGCAGCCTGTTCCACTCTCTGACCACTCTTGCTGGGAAACATTTTTTTCCTCATGTCCAGCCTAAACCTCCCCTGTTGCAGTTTCCAGCCGTTCCCTCTTGTCCTGTCCCTGATCCCCTGGGAGCAGAGCCCAGCCCCGGCCTCTCTGCAATGTCCTGTCAGGAGCTGCAGAGAGGGATGAGGGCTCCCCTCAGCCTCCTCCTCCTCACACTGAACACTCCCAGCTCCTTCCCTGGCTCCTCACAGGATTTATTCTCCAGCCCTTCCCCAGCCTCGTTGCCCTCCTCTGCCCTCGCTCCAGCCCCTCCAGATCTCTCTCATATTGAGGTGCCCAAACCTGGACACAACGCTCCAGGTGTGGCCTCACCAGTGCAGAGCACAGGGGGACTGTCACCTCCCTGCTCCTGCTGGCCACACTATTTCTAATCCAAGCCAGGATGCCGTTGGCTTTCTTGGCCACCCGGGCACACTGCCGGCTCATGTTCAGCTGCTTGTCAATGAGAACCCCCAGATCCTTTTCTTCCAGACAGCTCCAGCCACACCTCCCCGGGCCTGTAGCCATGCAGGGGGTTGTTGTGGCCCAAGTGCAGGACCTGGCACTCGGCCTTGCTGAAGCTCATCCCATTAATGTTGGCCCACTGATCCAATCTATCCAAGTCTCTCTGTATGCAGGTTCTGTGCCTGCATCTCTCCAAACACACGAGGAAGCAAATATGGTGCCATAAGGAAACCAACAGGCTGGAAGGCTGCGTGCACTGAGCTGGGATCAAAGGCTTTGGTTGCAGAAGCAGAACATGTCATAACAATGCTGGTGGAAGACTCTTCCCAGCCCCATCGCCCGTGGGTGAAGTGCAACGAGGCATTTGTTGTGTCCGGCAGCTGCCGGCGCTGGCTGTGGTCCGCAGCAACGCACAGCACAGGCTGTGCCGAGGGTGAGGGTCAGGTGCTTGACAAAAGTACCAAAAGTCACATGAAAAGGGGGTTTGACTGGCAAGAGGCAGATGATCAAATGGCCCTAAAGCATGAAGGGAAAGAGGAAAATCCTTTGCTGCCAGAGGTAGTTTGTACAGAAGTAGCCGTCAAGCCTTGGGGTTGCATCCCTCTGCGTGCAGGGAGGGTGCTGTCACTGCCTGGAGGTCAGACAAAAACTGGTCTAAGCCTCCGGTACATCGACGTCCCGCGAACACAACAAGGGCATCGTGATGAACATAAAAACAAAGGTGAAAACTGCTTTTGAAGAGTGAATATACAGGGGGGCAGACAAACTGAAAGCACTGGTGCTTGCCAGCCCACTGAGGGATGAGCGGGCGTCCTGGCTGGATCGGAGATAAAAGAAGCAACTCGGGAGGCCCAGGGCACTGCTGCGTGGCTTCTTGTCACAGAGACACGGGGAGATCCACAGGGAAGAGGGTGCCTGCTGCAGTGACACTGCTTTGCCCAGGGCACGCAGCAAAATCTACCTCCTTCGCCAAGACCTCCCCTTTTAAGCTCTTCCCTCCTGTGATGCCTTTGGACACTGGGAGAAGGTGTGCTGGGCAAACATCACACACTGCAATGCAATAAACGCCGTGTCCCCATTTCCTTGGTTTTCTGCAGGGAGCTCAAAAATGCAAACTCATGTTAGAAGGAGGCTCGTTTCAGAGAGCCCCGAGTCGGGTGTGACTGCTGGATCAGCAGTGTCACCCCTGTCACCGGCTGCGCACGCTCCCCTGCTTGCACACGCGTCCCGGCCAGCATGGAAAGTGTTTGGTGACTGGGAAAAACTGCAGAGCATCCAGCTAGAAACCATTTAGCAAAGCCAAGAAAGCACCTGGGGTTCACAGAGGTACAGGAGGTACAGGCACTAGATCCATCCCTGGTTAAAAAGGTGTTTAAAAGGAGGATAAAAAAAAGGTGGTTGAAAAGAGGATAAAAAAAGGTGATTGAAAAGAGGATAAAATAATGATTAAAAAGAGGATAATTTGTAGGAAGTATGGTAGGAAGGGGTCAAACAGTGCAGCCTGCTGAGGGACGTGCATCCTGCAGCTTATTAGGTTATAGTCTGTTCACTGGGGATGAGGTAGGGCATCCGCCAGACCTCTGGAGCCCGCTGGGAAGGGACTGGAGGCAGGAGGGGAGCAGAGATGCCTTGGGGAGCTGCAGCGGGACCTCGTCTGGTCCTGCAGGGTCTGTCTACACTCGGGGCGCTCGGATGCTGAACCCTTCCCTGGACCCGGCACCTCGGCTGGGATAAACTTGCCTCTTCCAAAGCCCCAGGCTGCAGCGTGTGAACACATGGTGGTAAATCACTCAAGTGAGATGGAAGATACGCTGCCCATATTCAGGGCTAAACCATCACGATTCGGAGCAGGTCGCTTACCTCCCTAGAGTCCTGGCCACGAGATTGTCCCCCGCCACAGCGCAGACCCGGCACCAGCTGTCCTCGGGCTCCCCCACGGCATCTCCCCGTTGCTTCCCGGGGACCCTGTGTGATGCTCTCGCCAGATTTCTACCGTAAGTGCCTGGTTTAGGGCAGCTCATCCCTCACAGGTGTAGTCTAAGAACTTCCTGAGACCAGACTGTCCTGCATCCCCCTGTGCATCTTCCCCAGCAGAGGTGCTGCCCCGACGGGCCCTGTGGTTGCTCCTGTGTGACAGAGGTGCAGAGCTGGTGACAGTGAGACTGGGGTGGCGAGTCTGGAGGTCAGAGGCATCTGTCTCTGTAACACCACCATGTTTTTCTCTTGTTAGGAAAGCAGATTGGGTGAGAAGAATAAGGGAGCCAAGAATGAAGAAGAAAAGGGAAAGGAAGCTCCTTCCAAAGACCTGGCCCGGAAACGAGATACAAAAGTGGGGAAAGACTCTAAAAAGGAAGACAGTGTTCAGAAAACAGACCCAAAAGTTAAAGCAGAGGCTGAAACCAAGACCAAAGAGGAGAAGGCTATCAACGATAAAGTCAAGGCCATGGAGAAAAAGCTGATGGGAAAGGACAAAAAGGAGGAAGATAAAGGTTCAGTGTTGAAGAAGGACACAGGGAAGGACAAAAAGGAGGAAGACAAGGGATCAGCATTCAAGAAGGACACAGGGAAGGATAAAAAGGAGGAAGAAAAGGGCTCAGCTTTAAAGAAGGATACAGGGAATGATAAAAAAGAAGAAAAGGGCTCAGCTTTAAAGAAGGATACAGAGAATGATAAAAAAGAAGAAAAGGGCTCAGCTTTAAAGAACGATGAAGGGAAGGATAAAAAGGAAGAAGAAAAGGGTTCAGCAGCAAAGAAGGATTCAGGGAAGGACAAAAAGGAAGAAGAAAAGGGTTCAGCATTGAAGAAGGGCCCAGGGAAGGAGAAAAAGGAGGAAGAGAAGAGTTTGGGATCACAGAAACAGGCAGAAAAAGACACAAAATGTGAAGATAAGAGAGAAAAAGACAAAAAGGAAGAGGAAAAGGGTTCAGCTTTGAAAAAATCAAAGGCAGACGAGAAGGAGAAATCCCAGCCAGAGGCAGAAAAGGCACCGGAGGAGAAACAGGAGGCCAAGGTGGCAGCTGAGAGCAGCCCCTCCAAGCCCACCACATCCTCGGATCAGGCCAAGGATGACGAAGCCTCCAGCATTTTCGATGAGCTCATCGAGAAGGTGAAGAACAATGACGCCGAGGTCACCGAAGTGAACGTGAACAACTCGGACTGCATCAACAACGAGACCCTGGTGCGCTTCACCGAGGCCCTGGAGTTCAACACCGTGGTCAAGCTGTTCGCCTTGGCCAACACCCGTGCCGACGACCACGTGGCCTTCGCCATCGCCATCATGCTGAAGTCCAACAAGGTGCTGACGAGCATCAACCTGGACTCCAACCACATCACGGGCAAGGGCATCCTGGCCATTTTCCGGGCGCTGCTGCAGAACAACACGCTGACGGAACTGCGTTTCCACAACCAGCGGCACATCTGCGGGGGGAAGACGGAGATGGAGATCGCCAAGCTCCTGAAGGAAAACACCACGCTCCTGAAGCTGGGCTACCACTTCGAGCTGGCCGGACCACGCATGACAGTCACCAACCTGCTGAGCCGAAACATGGACAAACAGAGGCAGAAACGCCTCCAGGAGCAGAAACTGGCACAGGAGCGTGGGGAGAAGAAAGACCTCCTGGAGGTGCCCAAGCCTGGAGCCCTGCCAAAGGGGTCCCCCAAGCCATCCCCACAGCCGTCCCCCAAGGCTTCCCCTAAAAGCTCTAAGAAAGGGGGAGCGCCCGCCGCGCCGCCACCACCTCCTCCTCCACTCGCCCCACCGCTGATCAACGAGAACCTGAGGAACTCGCTCTCGCCGGCCACACAGAGGAAGTTGGGAGACCGGGCGCTGCCAGTCCAGGAGAAGAACTCACGGGACCAGCTCCTGGCAGCCATCCGCTCCAGCAACCTCAAACAGCTCAAGAAGGCAAGTGCAGGGCTGCAGTGGGGGTCACCCCGGGGTTAGTCTGGGGCTGAGATTTGAGGTCATGTCTGTTCTCACTTGGGGAGGGGAGAGGGGAGGGCTGTCCTGCTCTGTTGTGGGGTAGAGCGGGGTGTCTGTGGCGCCAACCCCTGCACAGAGCACGTGGCAGGGGCAGATCCATCCCTTTGCCAAGCGTGTGGGGTGGGCAGATCCATCCTTTTGCACCATCCTTTGCAGAGCAGGTGGGGCCAGCAGATCCCTCCCTTGTCAGAGAGCAGGAAAAGGTCAGGTCCATCCCTTGGCGAGCCCCTGGGGCGGGCACATCCACCTCATCTCAGCAGTTAGGTTTGGCTCCAGGGTTTGGGACACAAGAAACCAGTTCTAACCAATAACCCCAGGAGATGGAAATCCAAGACCTCCCCACGCAGAAAAGGAAGAGTGCTTTGCCACACCAAGGGGGGCTCACATGCACCCCCGTGGACCGGTGTCTCCCTGCAGGGTCCCCAAGGGCAGCAGCTCACCCAGCTCTTGCTGCCGTATCGGCATGGCTGAGCCCACAGGGGTGGGAGGTAGCCCCGGGTGGCCAGAGAAGCTGCATCTCCAACGCCAGTCCCAGCACGATGCCTTGAGACATCTCACTCGCCCCATGTGGTTTGTGTCCCAGGACGGGCTGCCCACGAGCGGGAGCGTGGGGACAACCAGCCTGGCCAAGAGGAAGGGGTGTCCCTGGGGTGCTGAGCATCCCCAGCAGCCACAGGGAGAGGGGCTCAGCTCCACTGCAGCAGGTCCGCATAGGGCCCCCGCATCACAGAATCACAGAATCATCTCGGTTGGAAAGGACCTTGAAGATCATCCAGTCCAACATGACCCTCCCCCTGACCGTTCCCAACTCCCCCAGATCCCTCAGCGCTGGCTCAGCCCGACTCTTCAACCCCCCCAGGGATCCCGGGGACTCCCCCCTGCCCTGGGCAGCCCATTCCAACGCCCAACAGCCCCTTCTGCACAGAAATCCTTCCTCAGAGCCAGCCTGACCCTGCCCTGGGCAGCTTGAGGCCATTCCCTCGGGGCCTGGCGCTGGGGCCTTGGCTCCAGAGACTCATCCCCCCTCTCTGCCCCCTCCTG